TCATCATTAACAATGCAGCCGCCACGTTCCACCCCAGAGGTGGTCGCAACGATCTCTGAAGGCACGTGCCTCCCAAACAGTACTCCATATCTAAAGCACCGGGAGATCCTTTGAATGGAAACATCATCCTCAGTAAGGGGATCTTCTAAAAGATGTCCTGCATGCTCCATTCTCCAATCTTTTGATAAAGAACTGGAGATTATAAGCAGAACATCTTTCCCCAGCTCCCTATACCCCTGCCAGGCTCCCTACTGTTTTAATCTCTCACTAATTAAGTTTTTATAATTGCATCGGCAGGGCCAGGGGATAGGAGAGGGGCTAGATTTGTGGTACAGTAACGTACGCTCTGCTGCGAGGTGGTTGCCTGCAGGTGTCTGGAACAATGCCATGTGTGCTCTGGCCCATGGAAATGCCACCAGGCTGCAAGGGGGGAGGAGGGGAAAGAATCCATTTAGCTCACCTGTGTTCGACAAAGGCATCCACAAGCTCTTGTCTGAGACAGCAAAGCTTGTGTCTGTGCTGCTTGGGAAATCCCATTTTTTTACATTCTTCTGGCATTTCCTCCCCGTCTATAGGAAGAAAGTTCAGGTCAGGGGGGAAGGTGCGGAGCAGGTCAAGGATGTAGTGGCGCCCATCGTTGCCGATGATGCCCTTGCATTCCACCGATGAGCACAGCTCCACCTCCTCGTTCTTGTCATTCAGGACTTTGTGCTTCTGGATCTTAAGGGGCCTGCTGGTCTTCTCAAGCAGCTCCAGGTACTTGGGGTGTGAAACCACAGTCTTGCCAAAGTCTATTGACCCATATATGACGCTCTGCTCCTGCTCCCGTTCCAAGATCCCTGGAATAATGGACTGTGCCGTTACCCGGTAACCTCGGTAATCCACCACCACAGTCCCCAATGTGTAGAGCCCCTCCACATCCACTGCATTGTAGGTCCGCACCCCATTGAGGTCATTGGTGGGAGCCACATAGGCAGCAATGTCTCCTCCAAAGTCCTTGTAATGATCACGGACATCAAAGCCCAGGCTGAAGAAAATATTGTTCCAAATGAACATCTGCATCTTGGTTTCCTCGCTGGGGTTGATGGCCATGACATTGCCATCAATGACGGCCATGGCTCCCCTCGTAGCTGCTGCGGTGAAGTCGCTGTGGACCTGCGTGCAAAGGGTGGACCATGAAGGCAAGACAGACCTAAGCAAAGAGTGCAGACTCTCCATTCCCCACATCCTCCCAGCGCCTGGCCCTTGCCCTGCCGGAGGTCTCCTTATCAATTATCACCCACAGCAGATGATCAAGGCCAACTGGTTTGCCTCAAGAGCTTGGCTAGTATTTTGATTCCTTAAGGATCAGCCCTACTTCCATAGCTGGGCCACTTTGGGATGCTACAGCAGAAAGCAGTCTGAAGCCCTGATCAGGAGCTATTCCGTTCCTAACCTCTGCTCCTGGCTTGCTATACATCACCCTAACCCTCTTGAAGCAGTGTCATGCGACCTGCAGCAACACAAGGCTACGAGAGGCCTGCCTCACTGCTGGCCACAAGAGCCAAGGACAAGGAGCACATATCTCTGCAATCAGCACAGGATGGGAGAGAGAGGTATGAATACAGATCCCAGCCCTCAGTTTAAAACTGAAAGGAAAGCATCTGTGTTTATGAGGAGTAACCAGGAAGCCCAGCCCAAGTGAGGAGCTTAGTGCATTGTGCTGGGCTGGCAGAAGAGTGAAGTAGGGTAGGACCTTGGAGTGCTTTCCAAATCCCTCAGTCCCAGGATTACCTTGAAGATGGCTCGTTCCCTCAGCAGCCTCTCTGGCAGGTTCTTGCGGGGCAGCTCTCGTGTGGTCTGCAGTTCCTCGTTCCAGTCTCTGGTCTGAAAGAGGGAAATCCTTAGATGAAATCCTGCTTTGGAGAAGGGAACGGAGTCCACATTTCCAGCTCCCGAGCTGGTTCACAGGGGTATTTGCTACTACAGGTTAAAAGAGTGAAGTCAGACTTGCACAGCATTTTGAAGAGCTGAATCAGTCACTTCAGGCATGAATGATGTTGCCCACTTAAAAACAGATCTTGCACTGACTCGCACAGTTCAAGTCTTGCAAGAACACTGCAACTACTCAGCTGGCCTAGGAGATTGGATTACATTTACACATGGGTAGATGACCCCCTGCAGCATTCTTGGACCAAGGAACTGTTCACCTTGAGGCTTTTAGAAGGATGTTTAGACCTATTTTCCCCATAAAGCTGGCTCATCCTGTAAGGAATTCTGTGCCTACAGGATTGACACTGGTTTAAACACTCTGCACAATGAGTTCAATGGAGCTACTCAAAGCCAAGCCAGGGTATAAGGTTTCGCAGGACTGAGACCTCCAGAAGAGAGCCCTGCTTCAAGACCTTTACACACATGGGAAAGTTATGTGAGCAGCAAGACCGTTCTACCAGCTGGAGAAACCATTTGGATGTCAGGGCTCCTAGAATCTTTTCCAGGTTCAATTGAAACACCTTGCTCGAGGGACCTCCCAGCTTTGTACCTCAGTTCCTCCGTGGGCTGTATGGCCACATTCATCCTGGCCTTTGCATGGATACTGGGGAGGCTGTTATTCACTGGTATAAAATTAAAAACAGTTGTACAAATGGAAAAACCAGTAAAGATACCATTGCTGGCACCACTCCCAAAGTGTAGCTACATACCTGTCCAGGTATGTGCTCTTCATAGCCCAGCCTCGAAGTATAAGCATCTTCTGCCCTCACACAGTCCATAGCATGTTCTGCCTGCGGTGCTGTCCAGCTGTACACCTGGAAGGGGGTAGCTATCCTTTCAAAGGGATGTCTCTGGACCCTAGTTTGGAGTGAAGAACTATTAAGATTCTTTGCAATGAAGGGTGTCTTGTATTTAGACAACTTTTCCTGTTCATCCACAACAAAGCTTGCTTTGATTAAGAATCGCATCTCAGCTGGTCCTATCCAAGGAAGGGACGGAGTCAGATCCATCGGGGGACAAGCGTCTCCCGAGCTATACCTGCACTCAGCTGCTCACAGCAGCAGAAGCCTGGAAAAAAAATCAGCTAGGTTCTGGAGCCATAAAAATCTTGCCTGAAGAAAGCACTCTAGAGCAGCGTTTCTCAACCTATGGGTCGTGACCCAGAAGTGGGTTGCAAGAATATATGAAAAGGTCACAAACAAAACTTTAAAAATGGATTCTCTTTTAAAAAAGAGAAAAATGTGGGAAACTGTGCGTTTTCCCTCGCAGGCTGGCAGAGTACCCTTATGCGCCCTACCCCTACCCCCCCCCTCCAAACACACACACTGGCGGTCTGGGGAAGCGAGTCAAGAGTGAAGGGCACAGGCAGGGCCAGGGGGATATTTTCTACTTAAACTATTTACTGGGTCAGGACTGGCCATCCTGGTACAAAAAAAGGTTGAGAACCACTGCTCTAGAGCTCCCCATGTCATGCTAATACCAGCTCCCAGCCACATACAGCCCATGTCAGTTCTGCATGTGAGAGACGGGATTGTGCCTGGGTCCCAGGGCTGCATATAGCCATATGGGTTTGGGACCCATATGGTTGCATTATAAGCTACTGGTCTTGTTGCACATCCAGCAATGAAGCAAAAGCCAAGCTTAACCTAACGGCCTTCTGTACAGCTTTACTCCTCTCAGCAGGTGACAAAAATCCCATCTGCACTCATTTCTGGCCCAACAAGCAATAGGATAATCATTTTTTAAATGGCCAGATAGTCACAGTGGTGCGTTTCAGGCCACTCTAATTTCCAGCCTTCACATAATGTCACTTTTGTCTACTTAATGAGACCAGAAGCAGGATTCTTGAAAGCCATACAATACGCCTGTTAATTTATACCCTGCCGAGCCAGGCAGTTTAAGTGGACGCTCCCAAGAATGACAGATTTCGTACAGGACCCACCATTCTGGAGCAGGATGAGTGGTTCCGTGGAGAAAGGACAGGGGAATAAAACTGTCCATGAATGCAATAACAAGAGTTAGAAACAATCCGGGGAAATTTACACGCGTGAAGATTTAAATTGGAAAGGGAGTAATTAATTTTAACCAAAGCCACATTACTTTTCTTGATATTGGGCTGTTCGGTTTTTATTTTTTTGCTTCCATGCAAGAACACCTGCTGGCAGGATTATCCACTCATTCACTATTCCCGAGCTCAGCTGGCTTGTCTCCCCCTGCCCCCCATTCTCTCTTTGGAGGCACCAATAGTAAAAACCTGGTTCAGGTAACAATCAGCTACAGACCCTCCTGGATAAGTGTCCCATCCTGAGGGCCACTGTACACTGAATCATGCTTCAGCTTCTTTCACAAGCTTCCTTGCAAAGGCAAGCCCTTTTTGGAGTTTGCATCCCACACAGAATATAACATTTTTCTCTCCTCCCCATCTTCATACATAACCGCAGATAGATTACTCCTCAGTGCAGGGATCAACGGAGCTACACACAGCACACTACACAACTGAGCTAGCATTATCTCACAAAGAAAAGTTGTTCCCGTTCTGCCTCCAGCAGCACTTGTTAGTGCTAATTTACATGCTTGAAGCAAGTCTAGTCCAGTTGTCACTGCCAGGAAAACTAAATAAGGAGATTTACCATCAGGATCCCTGGGTTCCCTGAACAGTGACCAACCTTATGCATATGTAAGATTTAACTGCTTGTAAGCCTTTGCTACACAAGTGCCAACGGTTGCATTAACTTCCACCAAGCATCACCCTGCTATACTAGTTTTGTGAAGTGGAGTGTGTTGCAATCAACACCTGGCTTCAAGACAGACAGCAGCATCCAAACCCCAGTGTGCAAGCCAAATATCTAACCCATCACACATCACTCAAGGCAAGCAGCGAGGGAAAACACTACTGCTACCGTTTCTTCTGCAGAGTTGAGAAGTTTTTTTTGAAGGTCGGGCTAATCTGGTTAAGCAGCTCTACTAGGGAATGGCTGAGGAAACTGGGATTGGCAGGCTTGGGATTGAAATTGTACGCTGTTGACCTGCAAAGGAAAAAAAGAGATAATCACAATCTTGATGCTGTGTGAAACAGCTGCAGAAAGTCATGAGCTGTGCAAAAATGGAGACCCCATCTTCTCTGTATGGTCAGATAGGCTGCAAGGGTCCCCTGGAGAGGCACAGATAGTCTCTCCACTCAAGTCACTGTCAACCTCTGTGAACCTGTGCCCCGAGAGAGAGGGCAGCACATCCAATCCAGAAGCAGTTGAACCATCACTGGGTTCTGTGGGTCTGTGGTCTCCCTTCAAACTGGGAAGGCAGAGCAAGGCTCCCCAGATGTGTACCAGACCCTAACAGACCTTGCTCCTGCCAGTAATCACAAGGGCTCCACCCTCCCCCATTCAGCACCAAGCAGCTCCTGCTTTCTTTTCCAAGCTTTCTAAAAAGCCTTACAAGTCTTCTAATGCGCCATCAAAGAATGCTAAAGGAAGAGTTGCCAGGACCAGACAAACAAGATCTCTCCATGGAGATCTATTAAGGCAGCTCTTCTGATCTGTTGGCAGTCTCGCCTGCTCTTTGAAAGTTAATTTACAGGGGACTTTAGTCACCAGAGTAAAGACTGAAGCATGTGCATAGCTTAACTTTGAGCCCCATTCCTGCAGACTGAGGAAGGCTAAGGTCTCTTGCAAGTTATTTCTTCTGTAACCTGGGTTAGCTTAGGTTTCAATAACTCACTCAACTTGGAAGGAGACCCAGATGTATAGTGCTCAAGAGATATAACAGATCGGGTCTAGAAGTGCTCAACTAGAGAGGTCTCCCGTTTTACCAGTGTGACAGTTCCCATCTGCCGGAAAATAAATAATGTTGATTTGGATTTTCTTAGTCAACAACAGCCTCGCACTCTTCAGCCCACACATTTATGTTGGCCTAGGATATTATCTACCACGGTAAAGGATGAATAAGCAGAGCCTGTACTTGATTCAATAAACTGACAGATTTTACATGGCTGGTCACGTTGTGCTTTACAGCATGGAGTTGGCCATGAGATCAGGCAGGAATTCCTTCCCACTTGCATCACCTCTGCACAACAGGCTGAATATTTGGGGAGAGTGTTTATTCCCAAAGCATCAGGCACTTTAGAAAGACACTAGATGTGGCTGAATAGCCTGCTCCAGCGTAGCAGCTGCTAAGACTTTATATAAACGGGCTACCAACTACAGAGGATGAAGAGGGGGAATCTTGTTCTAGCACGCTTTCTTTTCAATCAGTTTAACCAAGACAGTGAGTTTGCATTAAGGGAAACTCTCAATTACTCACTGATTCAAGTAAAAGCCTCTGGTGGACGCTGTGATGCTAACGTGTCGATCCTCCACAGTGATGACGTACAGGTACATGAGGTCTCCGTGCATTTTTCGGTTGCCAGGTGGGGGGTTCCACCCACTCATGGTCAATACTTTTAGGCACTGCAAAGGCTGGAAAAAGCACACCACATGAGAGCCTCCATCTGCTGGCTTCCATTCTGGAAAGCCACCCACACTTCATACTTTCCATGTGCAAGTTCTGTTTGTTCCCCAGCCCATACCCTGACTGCAGGACCAGGGTTTACAAACTCCCAAGCTCTCAAAGCACTGCACACTGTAATGGTTTTTGTCATGCAATGTTCTACAACCTGTCTTAATACCCAGAGAAGAGCAGACACTCAATTTGTCTTTAGACCACATATATTTCTTGCAGCAGCAAGCTTAAGGGAAGCCCAAGGATAAATAGAAGTGATCTGAAGATCCTCTGGGAGACTTTGCAAGAAGTAGAAACCAAAAGTTCTCCCTTCCCGCTCTGCCCTCGTCTACAAGAGAGATCGCTACTGCACAGTGCTGACATGCAGCCTTTACAGTTTGCATGCAAAATGCTGGGCCTTAAGCTTCCTTCCCTTGGCCCAGTCGTGCTATTCAGGCATTGGTCCAAGACTCAGTGGAGCAAGTCTCCTAGTAAGCTCACTGCAGTGCAACTTGCAGTCCTAGAAGACTGTTGCCCTGCAAGAAGTGTCCTGGCTACCATCTTAAAAAAAGAAAAAAAAACACAAGAGAACTCTACCTTCCAGTCTCTGTTCTGGGGCTGGAGGGCACACAGGGGCCTCTCTTTGCTACCTGGCAGGATATGTTCAGGAGGGGTGCAATCAATTTGTTCCATTTCGGTACCTTTCTTCTTCCGTTTTCCACTGTCTGAAACAGGGACAGACAGGAGTTGAGTGCTGGAGGAAGACCACCTTGGCAATATTCAGTACAAAATCCTCTTGATGGAACACTGTTTCCTTGTAGCACCCTCCCTCCCACCACCAAAACCAAACTCAGGCTCCGACTGCTTCTTCAAGCTATAATTTAAACAGCTCCAACTGTGCAACACGCACCTGAATGCTGCACTCTGCCCCCGACATTACATACATTAACCACTGGGCTGTGGCTTTCAAAGAGACGTTAAGTGTTTATAAGTGTTGAAACGCCTGCTGAAACTCGCCTATAGAATTTGGCCCTGTAACCCCATAAACAAACTGAGCTCAGGTGCTCTCTGCCCAAGAAAGTAACCATTCTGCCCTGTAGGCATGAAATAACACCTGCCTCACCAATGCACTTCAAGAGCAAGAATACTTTGCTTGAGTTGGGCCAGCTTTAAACCCTGGGGCATCAGCAGCAAAAACACTTAAGTCAATAGGAGTAGCTGGAGTCACCTGAGATTCAGGTGACATGCATGTTCCTAGATACACTGGTGCACCTAATGCTAGGACCTTGTTTGTGATATTCTGTAACACATTTCCCAAAATAAAACTGAGCAACTGGGCCCCTTTCCGCCACACCTGCATGCAACAGCCTGGCAAAGAGGCAGTTTTGAACCATGCCCTGAGGAGGCGAAGGGACCTTAGTTTGTAAAGCTTATATGTCAGAGATGCACAAACAGATCCACAAGGATTAAATGATCTATTGAAAGCCACCAGGCAACAATGAATACAGCCCAGGGCCCCTGAGTCTACATCCTCCACCCTACCACTCAATTTTCATTAGGAAAGTGTGGGGGGGAAATATTCACAGCTCTTCCCCAACCATCCCCTCCTCCCCCACTCCAATAATTAGAACAAGCACTTAAGCAAATTATATAGTGGTAGAACAGCTGCATTTCTCTACCACAGGGAAGGTTTGTTGCTTCCAGGAAGCTTTTCTTATCCTGTACCTCCAAGGTCTCCTTCTGTGAAGACGCTCAGGAATGACAGGGAATTGCAGTCCACACCATTAAATGCATCTGATGGGTCAAGGCTCTTCAGAAGGTCCCGAATATGACGCACATGTATCCTGGCTTCCCGTACCGTGTAGGGCTCTGACCATCAGGAGAGAGGGACAGAGAAACCACATCAGCGCCATGGTAATTCTCTCTCAACACAGTGCACAAGAAATTAAGCATGCACACAGATACAACTTCAGTGGGACTGAGCTAGGAATGTGTTTGACCCACTTTGTTTTATATCCATTCTTGAACCAAATCTGTGCTTCTCTTTATTAGGGACTCATTACAAGCCTTGAGAGCAGCTGGCAGTTTTACATCACTCATCTTGGCTAACACTGCAACAAACAGGATTTCTATCTGCGTAAAAGATGACCAGTATCCTGCACGCTACTGGATATAACCTGCACGTGTCAGGATTCAGGAATCTTCCAGGTAAGCAAATCTTCCAGGCAGGCTACCAACAGTGGTGTCCCTTACAGACTCAATACTTTAGAGACACTGGTACCTGCCCTGCTGGCATGTGTGGCTGTAGCAACAGGGAGTGCAGCCACGAAGTGACATTTTACTATGGATTCTTGGTACATTTGGCAGGGGTGAGAAAGGTCACTGGACACAGAGAACGTACTCCTACTGTGCACTACCTGCCCTCTCAGTGTCCCTTTGCTTTTTTATCAGGTTCTGGTTTCTTGGGTGCCACCTGCCATTTGGTGCTTTAAAGGTGACCTAGCTTTCCACACCCACTCCTATACTAGGAATTTAACCACATGTGAATGGCTGCTTAGGAGCCTGCTCAAACTGAGCGTGGTCCTCTTAATCCAGGTCCCATCAATGGACAAATATCACTTGGAGGAACCACTTCCACCCTCATGGCCTGTCTCGGGAGAGGACTGAAGGGCAGGACAGGCCATAAAGACTCACTCAACTGTGCTTTAAGCTCCAGGCAGGGTCTTTACAGCTTGGGGTTAAGGACAGAAAGTGGAGTAGCAGGGTGAAAGGACCTTTGTCCAGTGGGGCCTATCCAGCAGCTCATCCTCATAGGCATCCGGTCTACGAGAACCCAATGCAGACAGGTTCTCTTGTCAGGGTTGCCCCAATCTCCAAAACTTGCCTTCAACCACTTTCAACACCGACCCCTCCTGCAGCCCTTCAATGGTTTTCAGCTCAGCGAAGTTATCCAGGACGTTGCCATCCAGCTGCAGGGAGAAGCAGGTTCGGTGGCAGGTGTCCTCTCTGTCCATCAGCACTTGGTGGATCTCCTGCACCATCTCTTGTGGAGAAACCTTAAGGACAAAATAACCCTGTTACCCCCCAGTTCTGCCACCTTCCTGACCTTGTGTTCAAGGAGCACCCTGATAGAGCAGAGGCGTGGGGTGTCAGACTGGCTTCTGTCCTCCCCAGGCACCATGGCACTGCGCCACCGAGTTACCAGATTCTTAGATCAAGGGAAGTCCTCGTGTGCCAGCTGCAAGGAGCACAGCTCTGTAGACTGGATGAGGCCCCCAGTTCCACACATGGGATCCTCCAGGCCTGTCCTTTTGATGCAGAATCAGAACCCCCATAGGCCACTTGTGGCCTCCTACACCCTTAGGCATTTATGAAGGGTTTAGCTCATCTACTCATCTGCTGGAGGACAACAGCACTAAGGCACTTGTGCACACGCAGAATTCCCACTTCTCAGCCCTTAGAGTATCAGCTAAAGTCTGAGTCCCTTCTGCATGAGCCTGGGTAAGAGGACACTGCACAGGGACACTGATGGACCAGAAGGTAGATGAGGGATGGGAAGGGTGTAGACAAGGGAAGAGTCCATCAACAGGCAGCATCTGGGGCTACAGAGCCTGTTGCTCTCTTCCAATGTGCTTTGGTGCGTGCAGTGAGGTGGTATGCTGTGTATCGCCACACCATTACTTGAAGGGGAGGACCCAACCTCCAAACACATCACTTCAACCACTAAAGAAAAAGAGCAAAGGCTTGCACACAGAGGCTTTTTACTTCTCTGCTGTGTGTCCAACACCATTTTATGCCATGCTCAAGCTATGCAGACTCTGGATGGTTTACATAAGCAGCTGTGAACAAGGCCTGCTATTATTAGTGTATTAAAACTAACAACCAAAGGGGTTTTAAAGGAAAAAGCTGCCCTGATCAGAACTGTCTGGCTCCTCCAGGGATAAGTCAACAGCGCTTGGCAAATGTTGTTGCATATATAATTCATATGCAACCTAGCCAGTCAGTGCCAGGCACCTTTTCAAGCCTGTGCTGCTCTCCTGAACACCTCGTTTCCCCTCCTCTTCAGCTGGCTCTCAGCTGAGCAGCTGCCATTGCTGCCTCCCTTGGAGGGACCCACCTGCAGGGAGAAGGGTTCTATTCCTGGAGCACAGATCTTGACAGTGAAGCCGGTGTCCTGGATGACGATGACCTCCTGGTCGTTTCCATCATCCCCTGGATCAGCTTCCTCATGGCCATTCTGCTTGACCTCCTTGTCTTCCTTGAGGCTCTCATGCAAGTCATCCCCGTTCATTAACATCATGACACTCGGGTGCTCTGGTCAAAGGGAAAGGGAGAGAGAGAGAGATTTAGCAAGGGCTTGAATTAACAGCACTCACTGAACAAGCAAGTGAAGGTAACCAGCTCCAACATCACCTGGGGGCCTCTGATCCAGACACAAACAAACACGCAGTTAAAAAAGCCAGAACCACTTCTTATCCGCGTGCTCAGTTGGTATGTGATAGATTTAGGCGTGCCACTTCTTATCTCCGCCCCCCCCTCCCCCGCCGCCTCCAGAGAGTAACATCCTTTCACTTGCCCGAGGGATATGCATGTCTTCCAAAGCCAGAGTGAGGAAGCTGAGTGGCTCAATGTAGAACAGAATCTGGTTCAAATTTCAAGGCCCTCTTAATTAATAGAGATGGGTGTGTAGTACTTTGCAGCCCAAAGGCAGTTGTAACCTATGTGCCAACAAGTTACATGGGATCTTGCAGAGCTCCCCTTGCTCTATTGTTCAGCTAGGGCTGCCTGGCTAATGTGCACGTCACATGAGATCCAAGCTACTTCACAGAAACAAACACCACCCACACCCCAGTGTGTGTCATACACTTGAAAAATACTGTGCAGAGCTCTTGCTGTGCAAGGAGGGAGCCTTAGCCTGCGATTTGAGATGATTTCAGGTGCCACATTAAAAATGTAAATCGCTTACTGTAGAGCTGGCTTCTCCAGGGCTGCCAGTCAATGGCTTTGCTCCCACTGAATGGGAATGCAAAGTGGCACTGGCTGGAGATGTGTAAAGCTGTGAAAGTCCCTTAGAGGGGCATGCAGAGCCTCCATGGCTGGGGTTATTCATACAGGGACTGGACCAGACACTGGGGAAGGCGCTGGAGGGAAGATGTCACTGTACTGGCCAAGAAGGGAGGTGGCAGTCTGGGCATCCTGACCAGCCATGCCATCAGAACACGTGAGGCCAAATAAAATGGGCTGTTCCAAAGCTGAACCTTTCCACAGAGACATTTTGGTTTCCATTAAGTTTTCAGCCAGACAGTTAGAGACTCACACCTGAGAGCTCAAGTTAGAACAGCCCCATTTCATGAACCCGGGGGACTCGGTTTACGTGCCAATTCAGAGCAAGCAGAGACCAAAAGCTGCACCGGGCTGTGCGCAGACACACCCTCTCTCAGGACAAAAGGCTCCGTTTTCACAAAGATGTGCGTTTTGTTCCAAGGCAGAACAAACACCACTTTCTACACAGCTGTAAGAGTTGCTGCAAGCGCCGAATTCTGGCCTGCCTGTTGGCCAGCAGGTCTTGTTCCTCACCTCTCTAGGGCTGCTGGGGAGCCTTCCCCTGCCAGCTCAGCCGCAGTGTGTCCAAAAGTGCAGCCTGTGTCTGAACGCCTTGAACACGCCGCTCGGTGATGACTCATTCAGAGACTAGTGTCGTGACTCAGACGCAGCGGCAAGAGTCAGACAGGCTAGCTCTCTCCACCCCCATGCCTTCATAGCCCTGGCAGTCATGCAACCCTCCTGCATTTTGCTTCTGCAGTCAGTAAAATTGGGCCAACCCCCCCCCCCCCCCAAAAAACCCACTGCTTACCACTCCTTGCCTGCCTCAAGGGTGCTGGGAGGGTTATGCACCTCACCCTGGTGAAGCACCCACGTAAGATGGCTATTCCGGTCCTTGATTAAGATCAAAGCAGAGGTGCCCGTCAAGCAGGGTACAAGAAGACACACAGCAAATGTCTCCCTCTCCAAGGTGGAGGGGTGACACCACAGCTGCCTTAATGGCCTCCGGGGCCATCGGCAGTGGCTGCAGAGATGCTAATGCTCAGTGTCTGTCTGCATATGTCTGTAGTGCACGCTGTCAAGTTCTCTGACAGGCGAACACAGGAGCAGAGTAGATCAAAGGCTCTGGTACTGCAAAATCCACACCGGGAAGGAAGAACAAATGCATTGTCCAAGCAGCAGTGCCTTGAGAGAATGTGGCTTTGGAAGGCACAATATCCCCGGAGGCCTGGGGACACGTGCCCCTGGTTATACTTGTACAGCAGGTGTAGCCAGAGCTTTCTTCAGATGACCTGGTGCATGGGGTGGGGAGCAGCTGGCTGCAGCTTTACTCAAACATTAGGCCTAGAGCTACCGCCAACATGGCTGACAGCAACGGCCTCCCCTTTCCGCATGCCCCAGGCTCTGGGAGTCAGGTAAGGCCCAGTCCCTGGGCGGGCAATACAGACAGGGGTGGGCTCCCTGCACCTTAGCAAAAACCGAAAGGGGGAAGGCAGAGTTTAGCTTGAAAGAGGCTGCACATGCACCAGACTACTATCGATGTAGACGAGCTTTCACCCGTGACAGATTAAGACTAGAAGCATCAGCCCACTCGCCTCCTACCCAGCAGCCACCCCCCAGGTCTTGGACCCATAAAGCCTACTCTAACCAAAGCCAACACTCACTCACCCATACGTGCCTAAATCCCATTAGGCCCTTTGAAGGAGCTGCTTACAGGGAGGTTTTTCCATCCAAACAGACCTATAAAGCAAAAACCCACTCAGGCCACACATTTGCTCAGAGATTCCCACCTCTTTTGTAGCTCAATGTGACTCGTTTCCTGTTTTTATACTTCCAGCAGTCCAGCCAATAAGCGTGGGTTCCCCAAGGAAGAGAGCTGGACTGTTTTAGAGGCAGGCATGCTAGGCATTTCCCTACCGTACCCCCTCTGTTCTTCAGGGGGAGGCAGTAGAGACTAGTCTTCGCTGCAACTCAGAATAATCCCAGTGTAAACTAAGACATGCACACACTGGTATCAGGCGAGGACTAGGATCTGCCCCAGGCTCACTCAACTGCGAGGCGGGATTAAAAAAGATGCTGCATAAAGCCATTTTACCTTTGAAAGTTTAAAATCAGGCCTGTGCTGTTGCTTATTATTTCTCCAGGCTGCACAATGATGAACTTCTGCAATGCAGCACCATGTTGCCTTCCTCTCCTCCGGAAAGGCTACGACTGTTAAAAGCTGCTGGGCTGGTGGAGAAGGAAGGATGCAAAGAGCTTAATGCCTACCTTCATTAGTTAATCCTGCACTCTTGTTAGGAACGAGCAGCTAATCCTGAAATCAATAGAGCAAGAGCGTCAAGCCGATCAGCCAATGGTTCAAGCCACTTTTGGAAAGGGAAGAGGATTGTACAAAAAGGTGGAAGTTTCTCCGGACGTGGTTGTTTCAATGAAAGCAGTTTGTTTTGTGGCAACCCCAACATAAACGACTCCTGCAGAGGAGTCTCGTGAGGGCAAGCACTGCCTACTTGGCGGTGACTCACAGTGTACCGTCTTCGCCCTGCCAAGAGGAGGTTTGCACGGACAGTTTCTGCCTACCTAGTCTTGAGATGCCCAATTTTCACTACAGTCTTGTTGAACCAGGAAGAGAATCAAGCTGCAAAACTAGCTGTGCTATCAGCACTTCCCAGGAAGAAATGCCGACTGAAGAAAGAAATTTAGACTGAATAAAGCTAAGATGTTAAATGCATCAAGGAAGTTCTGAATGTGCCCTCTCTCATGAAGGGTGCTCAGCTCCTTGGTGATAACCCAGCCTAAACCTAGCAGCAATGCAGAGGCCTGATCACCTCGGTAGAATGACATGAGAATTAAGTTGCTCATTTCTTCAAGTTACAAAGCATCATCTTTTGCCTCTTGCATTTGGTTTGCAAGAGAGCATGTACATGTCGGTATAAGCATGCCCGTTGCTGGTACAATGCATTTAAGATGGTTTAGTGGTATTTCACTGAATTGCATCCAAGACATTAGTTTTGCATTCCTCCCTGCTCATCAACCCTGATGGAAACTCATTCTAATCCTACCTTTAGCCTTTAAACGCTGCCTTGTGGTCACAATTGTTAGAAGAGCTGAAAGTTGAAATTAAAGAAATGCCACATGCTTTCAGAAGGAAGATTCTTTCTTTTAGTCCTTGGTTTGAGCCCTCCCCTCACAAGCTGCCCTAAAGTTGCATTTTGTGAATGCAGACACTTCAATCTGCCTGGGGGACAGTCCCTCCTCCACTTCCTGGTTTTGCTGAGAAAGCAAGAAAACCAACATAACTGTGGTGAAAACTAACTCTAGTGGGAGTAGAGTATTAGTTCTTGATTGAATTACAAATCACACCTGGTAAGAGAGTTAAGTAGAAGGATTAGCTTTTATCTTCTCACCTCAATTAAAAAAAAAAAAATGCATGGGGGCATTAGATGCTTTATTGCGATCATTCTTTCTATTTATGAACAAATGCACAGGTATGCCTGGCACCTCACACCAGTTGGATCCAGGTTGCTGCCAGAGTGCAAGAGCCCCGTGAGAAAAGTTTTGCTAACTTTATGCAAGAGCAATAATGGGACATCAAATTTAGATCCTTGTTCATACAAACCAGGAAGTGTGTCAAACTGCTGAAATCAAAGAGATTAAATGGATGCTTTTAATACAAGAAGAACCCTGTACCATAGATTTCATCAGGAGGCCTAATGTACGGCAGCATTTATGTTGTCACAAGATAATGGGACAAGGAACCCTGTCAAAATAAGGCAATTTACCTTTTTCCCTTCCTTAAAAAAAACCCAACACACCCCCAACCAAAAAAAACCAACCCAAAACTCCTTATCTGCATTAAGCATTGCCAGCATCAGGTTATTAGGAGTTGAAGAAATTAAAAGCACAGTTTACAATTTCACTTCATTTCAGCACAAACCTGTCACTACTGTGACTTCAGTTCTCTCTGGCAAGGGAACAATCTTGTCTTCCCATTCTACAGAGAGACTCTTGTGCCTTGTTTCTAGGCATACCTGCGAGCCAAAAATGCGTATTCTGTGCCAAGAGAGAAAGGATTGCAATTCCACGCCATACTAAAAGCATTCCTCCTCATCTCCCTGCAGGAGCCGACTAACTCTGGGGTTTCAAATTCAAAGGTGTTGCACTGCCACAAGCAAAAGCTGCTAGTAACACTGCAGAAGTCTGCGCAGCAAAGAGGGCCAGGAAAACAAAAAGGCAGAATTTTATGTTTTACATCTTAGGATTTGAGCAAAAAAAAAAAAACAAACCTAAGAATCTCCAATTGGATTAGCACCTTGATCTCAAGGAGAAAGACTTATTTAGATTTTTTAAACCACATTTCTGATGGTTTTGGGAAAGAAACAAGGAGGAAGAACCCAACCAACCTGTTCTCCGAAACATTTCCAACTGAGAACCAAAGCCAGATTGTTTCCCCGAGTGCCCTAAGCACCTTTTGGGTGAAAATCTGCACCAAGCTGATCATACGTGGCCTAACTGTCTATGTAATATATATATGCCTGCCATTATAACAGCACACAAGAGTGCTACTGCAGCATCTCACTGTTTTATTAGTATGGACAATCACCTCCTGGGGCGAGTACTGGCTTGGGGAGAAAAAGCAAGCAGGATTCGACAGGGTGTTCCAATGCAGGGTCACACTCATTTGGCTCCACTTATTTATGACATTGCAGCAGAAACCTGCGCCGCACGGCGTCCGCAGACCTTGCTTTCTTTATGTACAAGACAGATCTGAGCTGTGCAACTACGTGGTGCAACACCAGCATCATTGCCCTTACCTAAAAGATGATTTGCCCAGCTTCTACTTTAAAACACCAGAAAGATGCGTGGGGAAGAGGAGCAGCAGTGTACTAGCTCTGCAGACTGCTTCATGCCCCCAGCTCAGAAAGCCCTCCCAGAAAGCCCTAACTGGGCTCCACCATATCCATCTGTTGGGGATGGATTTGCTCTCTGCACAAAGAGCAACAGATTCAAGACACTAATTCTTTGCTTAGTGGGCATCTGCTCACACTATTGCTCAACCACCTTTCTTCATTCATCCACACACATGGGTTACAACAGGGGTTGCTAATCAGTGGTGCGGCACATGGTAGATGGGGGAGGGGGACAGGCAGCAGACCAACAGACAGGACAGGAAGCAGAAAGCAAAGGCAGCAAATTGTGGCGGGGATCACAGGGAAGGAGGCAGAACGCAGAGCAGCAGATTGGGCAGGGAAAGGCGGGGGCAAGAACAAAACAAAACAAAAAAACCCACAGTAGCACTTGGAAGGCAGGGGTACGGAGGTAATGTGGCATGCCTGCCAAAAAGGTTGGCCCCCACTGAGTTGTAACCACACAGTAGTTTGTAGAACTACACAAAAAGTTGCATTTATCATGCACTTCTGACAGCCTCAGCTGCACTCAGCTCTCTTTTTATCCCCATCCCCATGCTCAGGCCACCTGAACATTCAAACCCATGATGGTAAAACATAGAAAAAGCCTGTCGTGGGAGCATTCGTTCTCTTCTTCTCCTTGAAGGTGTCATTTTCAGGGCAAAATTCCACAGGCTCGAGCTTAGGGTTCTGCCCCAGCACTGTACGTTAGCCATGCGAGTCATTCGCAGAAGTAGAAAAGTTAGTATCAGCTTGCAACCTTTGTACTCTGTGACCATAATTCATTACGTTACCCTTGTGTCCAGGCTTTAGCCTTATTAACTCACTCACCCGTACTTCACAGAAGCATTTATTCAGCTTCAATATGTAACATGTACTTGTACCTAGAGAGCTGGTTAGAAGCTTGTGTTACTTATATCTTTCCCAGTTTGATTTTAAATGATTAACCCTAGTGTTGCATTAAGCTTACTTTTCTAGCAAATTTTTTTTTTTTTTTTTTTTTTAAATAAGAGGAAAAAAAAGCCCCTAGTTGTTACTTAAGGATTTTTAACCTCTGGTATCTTCTCAAATCTCTTATACTTTACTATAGCTTTGCAAATTTTTGTGCATTTCTGTTCCGATGTGCTTAAGGAAAAAAAAAAAAAAAATCTCATTGTGCTTAAAGAAAGCCTCCTTAAAAAAAGAAAAGAAATCAAGAAAACCATTACTCCTCACTAGGCTCTAGTCACTTCTGATGTTTTACATTTCACAAACTGAGCTCTGTATAAAAAACAAGTTTTTTTTTTTTAAATAGACAAGAAAGCCTGTTGGACAAACTTTCAAAACAGGTCACATACTGGTGTAGGGTAAACACATGGTAATTTCAGCCCAAAAGGGAAAATTTTGAAGCCAGCCAAGTGAACAGAAACACCGCGTTAGGAAAACCTGGTTCTTTCCAGCATGCACACATCACCCTCTCTCTCATCAAGGACACAAGATACATAAGCTGTACTCGGTGGAATAAACCATCGCCCCATGAGCACCTAAGAAAGGAAACTTCTTTTTCCTCTTCCGCTTCTTCTGCTTCGATGGCAATATACTCCCTTCGCTGTACAGACTGCAGCTTAACTCGCCAGCTGGGCACGCTGCTGGGTCAGTTGATAAGCAACAAGTGCTGGTGACGTGGGTCAGATGCGCACTCTCATCCTGAAGGAGAGATGACAAGACTGCTTGTTGGGCCTTCTGGACTTCCTCCATCTTTCCCGACGCATTACATTCAGAGGATCCAGTTGTATCATAGCTTCCCAAGTAAGGGCCGGCAGCTCTGCAGTCTAATGGGACACCTGGCTTGTCTAAGGGTTTGAAATTCAAGGCTTCTTCCCTCTTAAAGAAGTCTTGGTTTTGCTGCCAAACCACCGGCATTCCAGGGCTTGCATCTGTTTTGTCAGCTGGTACCACATGCTCTTCCTGGTTGCGGGTTTTACAGTCCAGGCCACCGTCCTCAAGTTTCACACAACCCTGGCAGGCCTCAAGCAGCCGAGCATGGTTTAACAGTATCTTTGACTCTCTCTCAAGGTCAACAGGAAGGACGGCCAGAGCACAAGATGCCTGTGCCTGCTGCAGGAGGCCTGCAGTAGCAACCCTGAATTCCAAGCAGCTGTTGACACAGGCCCCTGTCACTTCTTCCCTGCCCTCCTCGGGTAAGTCGTGGACGTATTCTGCCTGTTTCTGCAGCCGTTTATCTGATGCGTTGCTGAGAATAACGTCCGGGTATGGCTTGGCATACTTGCAAGGTTCTGAGACATCCGGGGGGGCAGTGCAACCAGCAGGAGATTTTGCTAGAAGGGGTGATCTCTCATCGGTCGAACGAAAGCTGCGCGTCTGGAAGATTAAATCAGTGACATGCCGACAGCAATTGGCAAAAATGCCATTTCCCATGACTGCAGCTTACACGGCTAGCAGAGGACTGGCTTAGAGAAGTTACTTTGGTTTATAACCCCTTACAAGTACATTTAAGTACAGTAAGGTACCTCACCGTCTGCCATTTGGATCAGTTAGTGCTTGCACGCGGACACTGCAAGAAAATTTTTACTTGACCCCAAGGTGACAAGCAGCACAAGACCAGTAATTTAGACTGTCAGCATGCAGAGATAAAACGGAGGAGCAAAGAAACTAGTCTAACACATCGTTTTCTCCCCTTGTCATAGTTTAGGCAGAATTAGACCTTGGATTCACAGCAGTGGGCGTTCTCCTGAAGTTCCTTCCAGTGACCTTCATCTTCCAGACATATTCGCCTCCATGTTCCAAATGCCAAGTTACAGGACACCAACCAAGACAGCCACAAAGTACCAAAGAAACTCCCCAAAGCTGAAGATTTCCTCCTCTCCCCCCTGTGCCAGAGAAACCAAAAGAACCCACCAAAAGTTCTTGAAAGTCCCTGCAAGAGAGGAGATACTAGTCCGATTGTTTCCGCCCAGAAGTTAGTTATAAATAGAGATCCGATAGCAAGCTCTGTACCAATGCAGTATGGGACAACGATACAGTCTGCCAAGCTCATAAACAAATGGGATGCATTGAATTACAAAACAAGGCTAGTTACTATGGCATGCCTAGGCCTATGCACAGCTATCCATACTAAACAGACTGACATAAAAGGGATTATGGAGAGCGAACAAAATAGGCAGACTCTGCTTCCAAATTTTCTGCCACCCTCTGAAAATGGCCTGTATATCAAGTTAACTTAAGGTACTCCCAGTAGCTTCCATGCTTGGATCTGGTACAGGTTTCTACTGGGAACAAGAGCACCTGAAAACCCACAGTCTAAGTAGGCAACGGTACAAATCCAAGCTGCCAATCAAAAGTATTGAAAGAACAGAAGTAGGCCACATACCCCACCCTTTAAACAAAATTAAAAATCACCTACTAGTTAGTATTGTTCTTTTCCCCTCCCTTAAAAAGAACAAAACAAAGCTCTCCTCCCTCCTGTTCTCCCCAGCTCATTTTTAACCCCAGATCTAGTTGCAGCATCTATGGCTTCCTTGTTCAGGACTTCTCTCTCATTTGAGCTGTACATTAATCTGCACAGGCAAAGCGCAGAAAGAACCACTTATAGCAAACCTTAAGTCACAAGAAGCCTGCTCATCCTCCTCAAGACCTCATGTCAAGTATGAAATTAAGTCTTTCAGATGGAGCAGAAAACAGGGTACAAGATCTGGATTCTCCTTGCTTATGCAACAGAAGCACAGGGGTTTTATGCTTAGGATTTCACCTTAAAAGGCTCAAAGAATATCGTCTGATTTCTAAGCAGCACGAATATAATTTAAGGGAAATAGAGAGCCAGATACAGGCCTTGCATAAAAATAGGTTCAAATATCACCTTCATCGACAAAAATCTCTTTCCTTTGAGAGAGAATTTAGGCCAAACAGCTCAAATTGAGCAAATTACACTTCAAACTACAGCTATGCAATCAAAGACAACAGAGGATTAAGAAACAACTATAAAAAACCATGCCATATAAAACGTTCTTAATTGGGTGAACACGTTACTTGATGCAGTAAGATCAGTAAAGTTCTCATAAGCATTGTTGGAGGCACACAATGACAAAATTACTGCCTGTCTGAACTGGAACTGAATTACAGAGAATAAAATGTCATAGCCCATGCTCCATGTATGCTAGGATTTGCTGGAAGAAAGTTGGCCACATACAGTGCACTGGGAAAAGTTTTCACCCATAGCCCCTGCGAGCCATTATGATCAGTCAGTGCAAAACACAGCCCATCAGTACCCTACTTTGATTAGGGATTTAAGTTTGGAATTCGACCAGTTATCTTCCTTTCACCCCTACTGGCTTTCTTGAATTGCCAAAAGTGAATAAATAAAGCCTAACATTGCCAAAAGAAAAGAAAAATGTTAAAAAAGGCCCTTTAAATTGGCATTAAGAAGGGGGGCAAAGAAAAAAAACAAACAAACCATAGGATAGAACAAAACCACTATTCAGCCAGTAAGGAAAAGCATCTTTAAGGATATTGGCTTCTTCCCACAGTTCTGCATTGGGAAAGCAACACATAGGTAGGTACATAGTTTCTTCCACAGACGAGAGCTCTCTGGAACGTTTCAGAAAGTCACTTCTCGTTGTCTGAACTCAAATCAGTGGTAAGTGCAACACAAAGTTTGGTTTTACAGAGTGGGAAGGCTGGGCTTCGCATAGGAGGAAAGAAATTCGGCAAGGGACCTGAACACCTGCCATCTTCACAGGCAGGTCAAATGTTTCCACAAGACTCTAATCAAGAGACAGGATGTTCTATGGGGACATGTTATGTGCCATCCTCCTTGGGGAAAGCCATAGTCTCTTCACATGCAAACAGCACATTTTCCTTAAAAAACAGAATGGCGTTTATACACATGCTCCAGGTGGAAAGGAAGGGGGGCTTGAATTAGAGCCTGTGCTGAAAACTGGCAGTGGGGGTGCTTTAACTAAAAGCTCATTTGAGCTTTTAGTTAAAGTGCCCCTGCCACCATTTTTCAGCACAGGGATGCTGATACACATGACGCTGGAGTCTGCTGGAGTGCAGCAATTACCATGCTCCAGCAGACTCGATTAATGGAGTCTGCTCCAAAGTGCTGTAATTACAGTGTGTCGGAGCAGCCTCGTTCCATCTGTATAGGCACCGGAAAAGCCCTAATTAAAGAGGGACACCCTTGTGTCTGGCTAATTTATGTTGGCTTTCAAGCATCTGTAGGCATTACCAAAGGCTACAAGTACTGTATTTAGTCTCCAGAAACAGTAGGACTGAGGGCTGTGTGGAATTCCTCCACTCCCTAGCATTTGGGGTTGAGCAGGAGATTTGAGAGCACCATGGACAGTTATGTCCATTCCAACCAAAACAGGAGGTCAGCCTGAGACAAACAGGGCTGTGTTGGAAATTTCTGTGCAACTACCTACCAGAAGCATGCTTAAAATGGAGAAACACTTCACTCTTCAGGGAAACAGAGCCACATGACAGTGTGGTCTAACCCTGCTAGAGCCACGTTCTAGCCAAGGTTGAAGTGTGTGGCTTTTCTGCCCTTTCAGGAATATTGGAATATTATTTTTTGTTGTAGTTGCACCTCTGGGCATTTGTGCTGTGCTGACTCTCAGACCCTTTCCTGTAGAAGGCATTTCATATATTAACCTCCACACTTGGCACCTTGGGGGACCTGCTGATACTGGGCAAGTCTGGGAACCACATTTAAGCCCAATTTCAACATAACTCAGCTGGCCAAAACTGTGAACTCAGCTCTGATGCTGGCTGGCAAAATGGTTCAGCTAAACAGTAAACAGCTCAAATGCTGCTCCCAGACTCAGGGTAAAGGCCAGACCTGCGGCGAAGTGCAAAGATCACACAGATAGGCACACCAGCAGCTTCTGGAAGAGGCTGCCTCTCAGTTTTCCAAAGGAAAGGGACTAAGACAGGACAGAATTTCCAGTGCCCCGGGCACCCGCAACCATTGAATCAGATCATGAATACTGGTGCTTGTGAGTGAATTCACCAGTCTCCTGCACAGTCTACTACACCTCAGGGTGTGTGACAGACTGAAGTACCTACCCCAAGAGGCGAGTGCCAGAGCCCCATATCACAGTCCTATATCATAGGCTCAGGATCTGCTCTGGTACTTCCATACCAGCCATAAAAGGGTCTAATCTTGCTACAGGAGCTTTACAAGACCATAAACTAGAGGTTACAGCGTCTAGTTTATGGGACTCAACTATACAAGCAAGAACTTCCCTGTCCAAGACCTGGGTGAAAATTAATCCATATAAAACATGACCTAACCAACCAACCAACCAGGGTTTTAACCACAAGGTTGATCAAAGCAAGCCACAGCCCTCATGTTTAGGTCCAGTGCATGTGAGCAAGACCAAACAGCAGTTCAATAACGTCTCTGACACGGTGCCTTATACAGCTTGTCTAGCAACTGGTTTTTAACTCAAATAAGAGGCTGATACAAACAGCCTGTGCCAGTCTGTGAGAGCATGTCTGCACTGGGGCTAGATAAATGAAGGCGTCTCTGGGTCACGTGTGGGTGTGTGATGTCACTGACATT